ATAGATAGATAGATAGATAGATAGATAGATAGATAGATAGATAGATAGATAGATAGAAAGCGAACGAACGAACGAACCGTTGCAGGAGATTGAGTTTGTATAACTGAACAACTGGCCATGAGATAGGGACCAGTCTAGTTGAACCTCTACACAAATTTGGTATAAAGCAGGAGTTAGCTTCTGTTTAGGCTTATGGAAGTTTCTAAAAAATAAACAAGTCCCATTCTGTAGCTTCATGGTTGCTAGGAGTCGAAGATGACTTGATGGCACATAGTCAATTGTGTAGCTGCTGCTTCTCTTGGGAGGCTACTCTAGATTCTACTTGCTTGTCTCAGGAATAATGATATGAGAAAAGTGATATTTTTCAGCTTTTCTACAAAAGTGTTGCACATCAGTTTGATGCTATAGCTCTAAAATATTCATAATGCTTAATAAAATGGAGAATTTTCATACAATTTTGAATTGAATCAATATTTCTGCTGTTTATAGATGGTTCGTGTCTGCTGGTTGTATTATTTTTCCAAATTCATTGAGTTGCTAGACACTGTGAGTATGATTACATAGTTTAATAAACAAAGTGAATGTCATATGTTTCAGGCATTTCTTTGTATATTGAGTATTTTTCATCATTGGAATAAAAGTTATGTTGACGCCACTGGATGGATGAAAACTTTCTAGATACTGTAGTCTAATTAGGCTGGGAAATCAGGCAGCTTAGTTCTCACTTTCCCTCTCTCACTGAGGACAGAGTTAAGATCTGCTCATTACGTATTCATAATAATGATGCTGTACTTTACTTGTATCTATTTATTTGTATTTATTTATATATCACATTTATATAGCTGCCCATCTCACACAAAGCAACTCTGGGTGGCTATATAAATCTAGAGGCTTAATTGGTGTAAAGTTCAGTACAGTCTTCAACCTTTGCTGTTCAGATACACTAGGACTGCAAGTCCCAGAATTCCAAGCTATGCTGGCTGGGATTTCTGGGAGTTACACTCTTAATAGAACATGTTGCTCTAAATGTAAATTGTAAGTTTATCTGACGCCTGTACAGAATATTAGAGTGGGGAAGAAGACAAAATCCCATTGTGCAATCAAAGTTTCTGTGTGAAACCCTGAACAAAAACCCAAGAAATTAACAAAATAATTTCTGAAATGGAACTTAATTCTTTTTGTAGAAAGTGTGCATTCAAAAATATTTCAGTCATTGTTGGATCTGAACCTTTCATAACCTGAAAGAATCAATACAGAACAATCATGTGACAAGTCTACTTCTCAGAAGGATGTAAACTGAACTGCATTCCATTTTGTGTGTATGGGGGTGTGTATTCTGTACAGGAACTCTGAAATTTTACTTGGCCTTTGATCTAACGTTGATGCTCTTCCACTCAGTTCTTGGAGGGAAAACCATCACCAGCCTGCTGTGGGCCTTGGGATTTCCTAAAGGAAGAACACAGTATAAAAGACACAAAGAGATCCAGAACAGCCTTTGGCTCTGTGTTAATAGAAAACAATCTTTCCAATTTTTATTTCCCAATCCAGTTACGCAGCCTTATGAACTTGTTTTGAACTAGAGTTCTGTATTATAGATTTATGATTCACGTGCATGACTCAAGTCCTTTTAGGAGGGCCCATGACTCTGTGGTAGGGCACATGGCTCACGTAAGGGACAGAGAACATACTGTGTAGCTCAGCACATGGAGGGCCACAATTCCCAGTACCACTAGCCACTGTGGCTGATTGGGAGAGATGCTAGGTGTTGTAGATCAACAAAGTGGTAGGTTTTTTAATAGCTAGTACTGACCTCTGCCAGAGATCCTAGAGAACTGCTGATAAGGTTGACATTGAGGAGACAATCAATGCTTGTTAGAGGGACCAATATCGGCCTAAATCAGCTTTTTTTTATTTTGAACCAATCACTTTGATTTTTGAAGGTGTACTAAAGTTTATATTTTCATCTGTAAAATATAAATCAGATGACAAGCTTTTAAATGCACCTTACTAACCTTTCTATTCACATTGCTCATTTTAAATATGGCTCATTTCAGATCTTCTTTGTCCTTCGAAAGAAGAATGCCCAGGTTACATTCCTACATGTCTTTCATCATTCAATCATGCCGTGGACCTGGTGGTTTGGAGTCAAATTTGCTCCAGGTAGTCAAAAATTCAGATTCCAAGTTGAAGGTTGCTTTACAAATAAGACAGAGTTTTGTGGGTGGGGGTGGGGGGAGTTGTGTCAACACCTGGCCAAATCACAAAACTAGGTGTTCCAGTTCCTTGGTGCATTTGGTCTCTAAGTAGCTTACTTACTAGCTGTTGAAAGAAGGGCAAATTGTCTTATTCTGTACCACCTTAAAAAAAGTGCCAGTGTTACAATAATTCTTTAGTAAGTGGAAAACTACACTTTTAAAAGATTTCTTACTATGCTTTGTTTAGGTCAAATCTTTGAATTAGCCTTGCTATTTATTTTTATAATTTTCTGTTAATTGCTTAGCGACTTCTGATTGCTAATTTGTGTCAGGCTATTCTGTAATACTTGACTTCTCTTGGGCGCAAGATCTGTTGTGAGCCAAATCAGAGCATCAGCAAACCCATGATTAAGCTGAAATCTATAAATCTTTGAAGTTCTCAATAGAAATTGGAAGTACTACGGCAAAAAGGGAGATGAGGACTGGGAGTAGTTAGGGAGAAACAAAAACTGTGGGTGACCATACAGCATAAACACTGTTTGAAACTCCCCCACCAGCATTACATTCATGCGCAAACAAGGCCCTCCCTCATATAAAGGGTGAACTGCATGTAATGATAATATTTGAGAAAATATTCTTAATGATACCACTGTTTTCTATTTTGAGGAAAGAGCAGTTTGTTGGGGAGAAAGGATGAAACAAAGAATAACTAATTATTTCTTCACATAGACAGAGGAGGTGGAAGAGACCATTCTATTATCCTACTAGAGAGCCTATGAAAAATGGAGGAACGAGTGCTCCAGCTAGAAAGCTCCTTGAGTTCCTATCCCTCCACCCCTTTGAATTCTGGCATTTGGAGGGAGGGAAGGAGGGAGGGAGGGCAGAAAATATAGTGTTTATGCCTATCTTCTTCCTTACATATCTTCTCTAGTGAATAAGGAGGGGAGATTGGGTCTTCATGCTGCAAACACCAACCCCTACCTTACTACCGATCTGTCCCTCTGGCTGATGCAGCAGGAAGATTTAGTCACTGATGGAGTGCTCATGTAATTCTCCTCCTTGTGCCCTCCTCCTCCCAAGAGGCATTATGAGTATTATGACTCTAGATTTCTAAGTCAAGTTATTCTTGTATTAGCAAAACAGATAATAGTACAGGTAGTCCTCGACTTATGACCACAATTGGGACTGCAGTTCCACTGCTAAGTTATGTAGTTGTAAAGCCAAACGTCAAGTGACCACATCACTTAGCAATGGCAATCCTGGCACTCCCCATTGCCATCATTAAGCAAATTCCACAGTCATTAGCTGAGGACCCACCCCAATCCGAGCCATTCCAGGCTTGGTCCCTCCCAGCCCTGAGCCTCAGTAAGGTAAGGGACTGCCTCCAACTCCCCCCATCCATCTATCTCCCCCATCTCTGCCCTTTTGGCTGCCCTGCAACCTGCCTTGTGGGGCGGCAAGTAGCCCCAGAACCATGCAGCTCTGGGGCTGCTTGCCACTCTGCAGTTGTGGGGCTTCTTGGCCCTCCTCCCCTCTTTGCTCACTCACACACCCCAGTGCCCTCCTTCCCCACTCACACACACCGTGCCCTCCTTCCCTCCACTCACTCGCATGCACTATGCCCTCCTTCCCTCCTTCACTCACTCAAGGACTCCCCAGGGGTGCTTCCAGGTGCTGAAAGACTCTCCAGGGGCATTTCTGGTGCGTGCTGTGCAGCTCATGTTGGAAGCTGCTGGCCATTCGTGAGGGTTTCTCCTTCCTCCTGCAAAGCCTTCTTCCTGCAAAGCCCCAGAGCCACAGCACAGTGCGAAGGGAGCACAATGCATGTGAGTGAGTGAAGGAGGGTGCTAGTGAATGTGAGCGTGGAAAGGAGGGCGCAGTGTATGCAAGGGAAGGAGGGTGTGGCACATATGTGCGAGCGAGTGAAGGGGAAGGAGGGCAGTGCATGCGTGCGAGTGAAGGGGGAAGGAGGGTGCAGTGTGTGCATGCAAGCGAAGAAAGGCTGGGGTGGGTGGGGGAGACTTACCCAAGCGACTTGCAATCTCCCCTGCGAGCTTCCCCACTGACTTTGCTTGTGGGAAGCTGGCAGGGAAGGTTGCAAAATGGTGTAAATGCAAACGGGTTGCCAAGCGCCCAGATCACAATCACATGGCCGCGGGGGTGCTGCAATGGCCATAACTTCAGGGACCAGTCATAAGTCCATTTTTTCAGCACTGTCATAACTTTGAATGGTCATTGAACAAAGTCATAACTCGAGGACTACCTGTATTCAGACAAGGGAAGGAGAAAGATTATTATTTGCTGCATAATATGTGATCAGCTTCACTCAACTTATAGCCTACCTTTCCTTCAAAATAAGTATCAGGTTTACCCTTCCTTATTAAAGCATGTATAGTTATTTCATGTTTTAATTACCAGTACGGAAAAGTCTTGATTTGCAAATCTTTGTGATTGGGTTCATGTGATTCAGTAAGCCATTGTTTATCCATAGTTTATTAAATAAATCTCACTTTTCTAGGTTTAACACAATATCAAACCAACCACATTATGATACATGATCTCCTAGGGAAGAAAACAAGGCTTAATTGATGAAGAAAATCAAACTTGTGCAATAAAACTGAAAGAGTCCTACCAAATCAGTTCCCTGTGAAACCCAACATATGAAGTCAACACCTGTCTTAATTTTAGAAAGTATTAGGCTGAACTATTTTGTCTGAATAAATAATTGATTGTGGTCAGTAACCATTTAACGAGATACACAGCATAAAATTTAGAAAAGGCTGAGATGAAGGAGAGACTGCTTTAGTTTTAGCCAACAACCTGAATATGATCTAAAATTCTGAGAAATACAAGATATCTGAGACTTTGATTTACAGCGTAAGGAAATTTAGTAGCAGAGATTTTTATCAACAAAGCAATATAACGTGTAATCTTTTTTCTACCAGGCAGCTTGAAGAGAGATAAAATTAACTCAGCTAATAACATGATAAAAATGCAGTCCAAAATGCAGTCTGGGAATGCATCTAGCATAGTTTCAAGATCTGAGGGAGATGGCTTGTTAGCGGCAGATGGTAGCACTTTTGTATGAATCCTCTTAAAGGGGTGTCCATAGCTCATAAGTATTTCATGGGTCTCAGTTAATGTGTCAATAAAGTACTAAATGCCCAAGCAAATAAAACAGACGTGAGTGCACTGGGTTTCCATTACTTGTGTTCTGTAAATTCTGCCTCTGTTAGAGCTAATAATGAAATATCTAAATGAGAGGCGATTATGGCCATATTTCATAATGGACCAAGTTCAGCCACGGAACAGTAGTTGGCATTGCGGCAGCCCACGGAGGAAAAAATGGTGCCTAGACTCTGCACATTACAGAGGTTTATTTCTATGTATTTGTTTTGTGTCTAGCGTATTGTGTTAACTTAGCCATTTGTGGTTTATTCAACAAACCATGCTTAAGCAAACATGAGATGTCTGAATCCACTATACATCAGTCAGAAGAAAAATCCTTTCGTTTTTGTATGTTAACACTGTGGTGAGTAAGAGATGGGTTAAACTTAACTTGGGAACAGCTATAGTGCTAAACACAATAGAGTAGCCAAACTATTCTGTGCCTTTTATACCAGATCTTCACAGGTGCAGTTGAAGATGTGTATTGAAATCACTATAATTATGTTTTAGTTTGATGCAGTGCTCTTTAAAGCCCATCCATACATTTCCTGGACTTCAGGAACTTACCTGAATGTTTTTTTTTAATTTGTTGAATTTATATCCTGACTTTCCTCCAGGAGTTCTGGTAGATAGATATAACACTCCTTTCTCCATTTTTTTTTCCGCTGAGAGATAGATTGGGTTGATTGAGAGAGATTGGCTGACCCAAATTAACTCAGTGGGTTTTCATTGCTAAGGATGGACTTGACGCTGGTTCCTGATTTTACTCCAACAGTTTAATCACTACACTGTAGCATAAGTGTATTACAAAGTATGACAAAAAGAAACCCATTGAATTTGCAAATTATTTTTTGCATATAGCACAGATGAAACATTCAACGATGCCTGTTTTATTGACATAGAGGATCACAGAATTAGAAGGGACCTTAGAGACAAGACAAGGATTCCTGAGAAGGAAGCTTGACAACTACTTCAGTAGAAATAGTATCAACAGACAGCAGTATCTGTGGGTGCCAGGGCATCTGTCATTACAACAAGCTCATAACATTAATAAAAATCAGAGGAAGTTTAACAGTTGAAAGAAAGGTTGAATTCTCAAATGGAAGCTGAAGTTTCATGCATTGTCTTCTGAGATTTCAACATTCCAATGTGAGATTCCACAAGATCTGGAATTTTTAGTGATCTCATGAGATACTGGTTGATTTGTTTGTCTGTTAACTCTTAACTGCAGTTGGTTTATAAAACAGCTGTTAAACATGACAACTTTTGTTGATGTTGTTGACGATGCTTCTGGATCAGAAGTGCTTTCTGACCTTGTGCAAATCCTTCGTTACATCAGGACTGTTGTCAGGATGACAAGTTGTGTATTATGTTATCTAGGCCCACTCTGCTCAGTGCAAAATCCAGTTTCCAGAAACCCTCCAGTTTCTGTTTGAAGATCTCCAGTGAAGTATTCTGCTTCATGTGGCAGTCTGTTTCACTGACAGACAGATCAAACACTCAGGAAATTCCCCTTAGCATATAGCCTGAATCTACTTCCTTGTAGTTTTAACCCATTGGTTCTGGTCCTGCCCCTGGAGCCATAGAGAATAAGTCCACTCCCTCTTCTAAATGACAGCCCTTCATTTAGAATTTAGAGTTTTGAAGACTGCTATCATCTCTCCCCTCAGTTGTCTTTTCTGTTCCCAGGCCCTTTAACCATTCCTCATAGGGCTTGGCTTCCAGACCCTTCATCATCTTGATAGCCCTCCTCTGAACTTGCTCCACTTTGCCTTTTGAACTTTGGTGCCCAGAACTGTGCTGAGTGGAGTCTGACCAGAGTAGAGTTTAACAGTTATTTCGTGTGACTTGGACTCTGTGCTCTTGTTAATGCAGCCCAAGATAGCAGTTGCCTTTTTTAGCAGTTGAACCACATTAATGGCTCATGTTTGACTTGTGATTGACATGGATTCCCAGATACCTTTCACACATACAACTGTCGAACCAAGGCTTCCCCATCCAAAACATTTGCCTTTTATTTTTCTAGATGCAAACGTTTTCATTTCTCCCCATTAAATTCTATCCTATTCATTTTAGTCCACTGCTCAAGTCTATCTAAAACTTTTTGCATCTTCTCTTCTCCCAGCTTTGTCTCATTTACAGACTTGATAAGTCTCCCCTCAAACCCCTCATCTATGTCATTGATAAACATGTTGAACATCACAGGGCTCAGAACTTGATACTCCTCTGCAAACTGAAGTGAAGCCTTTAATGAGCGCGCATTCAGCCAATTGTGAGCCCATCTAAATGGTATTGTCATCTAGCCCATATTTTACCATTTTATTAAGGAGAATATCATGAGACTTTGATGAAGGCTTTGCTAAATACTTTGTCTACAGCATTTCCCTGACTACTAAGTTTTTAACTCTATGAAAGAAGGTCAGTTTCACAGCCTTGCAGAACTCAGCCAGGAGATAGTGGCCCATATGTTCCATGGAAGGGGGGGCACCACTAAGAAGACCCACTTATGGGGTTCCTCAAGTGGGGACAGGGCCTTCAGCTGGCCTTCTCTCCCTGATCACACTGGATAGGCAATTCTGGAGCAGGTGGGTTTGAACGTATCTAGGCTTTTAGTCACATAGGGCTATAGAAGTAATAACCACTTTGAATTATGTCTGGAAGAGAACTGGCAGCCAATACAGCTCCTGGAGTATGAGTGCTACATGGACAGATTTAGGGGTGTGTGCACCAAATTCTCTTCCTCTTTAGGAAGAATTCATCCTAAGCTGCTAAAGGCAATATTCTCTAATGCACATTAGAAAAAACTGTCAAGGTGAGATTTGAAAATAATAAAGAATGCAACCTTGCTTACTGCCCTGCCTACCAGAATACAATAAGAACACGATAATTAATTTATGGCAGTGTTGTTCCAAACTTTTCCTGCCCCTTTTTTGAGATGAGGTTATATTCCTGCCTCATGTCGGGGGGGGGGGAGCGGGGGGGGGGGGTTTGGGGGTGTGAGGACAGCAGTCCTTAAAGAGCGACGGCT